CTACCCCTTCCCAGTCCCTCTGAAACCAGATTACCTGGATGAGCTTCTGCGTTTAGGGATAGTACCCAGGGCCTGGGACGAAGCTCGCTTTTGTCCTGCCAGTGACTCTTCATCCTCTGAACGGCTAGCAGTGCCTGATGCCATCAGGGATGAATCTAGCAACCCCTGAGAATCTAGAAAAAGAGAAACGATGAACTCAGGCTCCCCAAGTGCCCTCTGCACACAGGACCCCCCTTTCCAGCCTCCTCTTTGCCAGTGCCTTCAGCCCTTTCTCTGCCTCCTTGAGGCTTGAGGTTTTTAAGGTGGGAGTTCCTTGGCCTTCCAGATCTCATCTGGACTCAGATCTGGCCCAGACCTTCCACAATGGGCAGTTCTCCCGGTGCCACGTGTCATACCACGCAGCACATGTGCTCAGGTCAGACTGGTGATGCCAACACACCAGGCTCTGGGCATAACTGCTCCCTCTGTCACCAAAATGCAGTGTGCCAAGAGCAACAGCTCAATAGCAAGTCAGTCAACTGTGCTTCTGCCGAAAGGTGCATGGATGGTGCCGGCCCAGGGGGACGTGCCAATGCCCAGCCAGGAGGACCGAAAAGACACTTGTACAAAGCCTGGGGTAGAATCAGCAGATGCTTGGTGCATCTCGGGAGCGGACCTGGCCTCATACTACCTTTGTCCATCCTCTCACGGTCCCAAAGCCACTGGATCCAAACCACAGGGCTAGGAGGAAGGGTCCCACGGGCTCATCCAAGGTTTCTGACCAAGTGAGCTTAAATGCCGAGAAGAGAGTCTGAAAAGGAGAACAGAGCTCCCTCAGGCTCAGATCTAACAGGCCAAACCTACTTCCCACCTCCTTAGTCTGATCATTTCCCCCATCTCCTAAGGTAGGGAGGACATACGTAGTGGAAAGAGGCATAAAGCGCCACTCTCAGTTACACTGAATAATCAGTAGCTACTACCTGATGTGATGGCTCCTACCTTTAATCCCAGTACCGGGAGGCAGAGGCAGGTGGATCCCTGTCGAGTTTGAGGCCACTTTGGCCTAGCCAGCAAGCCAAGACTATGTAGTGAGACCCTGCTTCAAATAATGAAAACAAAAGTATAAGTAGCTATGTGGAAGTCTCTGAGACTTTGGAGAGTATGACAAATGGTGTAGACAAAAGACATACTAGGTTCAGAGACCCCGCTAGTTTTACCAGCAAGTCCCACACGAAGCATCTTGACGGTCAAGCAGGAAGAACCAAGGGGTTCTTGGCTCATTACTTTTTTCAGCTGCCCACTCACATCACCAGCACTAACCCTTCTCCCAGGCCGCAGCCAGGCAGAGTAGAGAGAAACCCAGTGTCTCACTACACCTTTCCCCCTTCTATTTGCGGTTTTTACGTAAGTGGGTGGTACCTTCTGAAGATCAAAAACAGTGGTTTGGGAACTGTGTGAATACCCACCACCTTGGGAGACCCGCTTGTAACCCACTGTACACAGGTGTACAGACTTCCTGGAGGACTGTGTCTGCAGACCCCGCCCCTTCGGACTCGGGGGTCTCCCAGGGCCAAGTTCCGGTTCTGCGTCCGAGGCCGCTCCTCGCCTTGCTCCGTAGGCTACGGCTGGGAAAGGCGGGCACCACCGGAGAGGGTGAAGGTGCCCAGTCCCACAAGCAACTGAAGCCGAGTCTCTGCCTACCTTCCTGTCCTTACACCCCTCCTCCCGCCACAGCCCACCCAAGGCGAGGGATCAGTCCACGTCTGTTTCGGGGACTCTGGGAAGGAGTGGTAATTTAGTCAGCTCTGCAACTCCTAGCATTGCACCGATAAACCACGATGCGCTCGCAGTCTGGCTCTGAGCCCCAGGGGCTGGTGACAGTGAACCAAGACCAACTCCCAGCAATGCTCACCCCACCTTAAGCATGCCATCTTTGCGCATGCGTAACGCCGCAGGCCAGATTCCAGCCCTGTCCGACTCACGCATGCGCAGACTTTTCGGGGCGAAACCGGGGCGGGGCCCTGAGACTCGTTGGTTGGGGAGGGGGGTTGTGCCCCGCGGCACATTGTGAAACTCCATTTCACCCCCATCTCTACTCAGAACACAAGGAGACGAACCGCGAGGTCTCACCATTCCTAGGCTGCCAGCTCCAACAATTTCTCCGCGGCGACAGGAGGAGCCGCAGGGCCAAAGCCGGCTTCCGTGAGGTACATCTACTTCCGGGTTGCTAACGAGAGGCCTGCGCGACCTTTTCCGGTTCGTCCTGGAAACGTGAGCGAAAGGGGCGTGGCTGGGCGGCCTAGTCGAAACCATCTTGCCGGAAGCCGGAAGTGAGACTTTCCGGATTGGAAAAGGCACGGAGGGAGGCATTAGGCATAGTAGGAACCTGAGAAGTTTCCCAGTTCAAAGAGTATCGGGGAGGACGGGGCTTGCAGTGAGACCTAGTCCAGGGGACGCTGAGAGCCTTGGTACCGCTGTATGAATTTGAGCTCCGTAATGAGCACTAAGCTTGCAGAGTCTCCCAGGACCGAATTTGGTATTGTTTGATCGGCCATTGTTTTTAGATAAAGTATTCTGTCAGGCCCTTTGGTAAGCACAAGACTTGCTGTAGCAGAGGAGATATGACGTACAAGAAGATCAGGAAGATGCATGTCTAAGGAGGATATGCAGGATGGTGGCCGAGTTTCCAAGGAAACGCCCCGAGAGAAGGGGCTGTGCCAGTCGGTTACATCAGATGGACTCCATCCACCTAGACAGTTGAGGGCAGTCGTGGGAGCCAGGAAACCAACCGAAGCACTATCTGAGGACAGTGTTCCTGAGAGAGAACTATTGGGAAGAACTAAGGGTTGTGAGAGATGCCTGGGAAATCTAGGGAAACCGGAATATGATGGTTCCGTTTGTTTCGTGCCCTCTAGGGGTCACGAAAGCTTACGCTGTGGCAGGCGAAGCTCCTTGGAAGAGCGTTTAAGCAACGCGTCTGACGTCCTGAATTCAGGTGTCAGATGGACGACTTGCCCATTGCCCATGACAGTTTTATGGTTAATTCTCAGCTTCAAGTCCCCATTTAATTTATTGGGACTGATTTATTGAATGAGTATGTACCTGTTTTATCTCCCAGAACCATTAAGTTTTCTGGTACAGTGTTCTAGTTAGAGTTTTGCCAACTTGAAATTAGGTAGAGTCCTCAGAGGAGAGGGAACCTCGATTGAGAAAAATGTCTCCAGCAGGCAGGACTGTGGGACATTTTCTTGACTGGATAGATGTGGGAGGGCTCAGCCAGTGTGGGCAGGTGGTCTTGTTTTGTAAATGAAAGCAGGGTGAGCAAGCTAAGGAGAGCCTGCCAGTAAAGTGTCTGTCGTGTTAGCCCCCCACCCCCACCCCGTTCGCCCCGGGCTTCTGTTTCAGTGCCTGCCTTGAGGTCCCTGCCCTGGTTTTCCTCGGTAATGGAGTGTGACATGAAAATCGTAAGGTGCTTTTAGTAGTAATGTTTTAGTCTTGGCAATAGGAAGCCTGGTGGACTGTGGTAAATTTAGTGTACCTATACTAGATGAGAATTAATTGGGTACTCTTCTCTAAAGGGGCTGTTTTCTTTTTAAACCAGGACTCTAACACTTGGTGCATACCACACAAGCCCTGTTCCACCAAGCCACTACACCACTCCTAGCAAAAGATCAGTCTGGTGAAGAGCCAGATTGGTAGGTCCAGTGTTTGTTAGTTGTTTTTCTCCTTATTGTGACAAAATCCCTGGGAAAAGCAACTTATGGAAGGGGGTGTTATTTTAGCTTACAGTTTTGTGGGGGCAGGGAAGGTGTGGTGGCAGGAGTGTGAGTGCTCGTGTTGTGTCCCACAGTTTGGAAGTGCCCAGGGAAGGATGTCACCTGCATATAGGGAAGGTCTTTCTCTCTCAGTTAAACCTCCAGAAACTGCCTCACAGACACACCCAGAGTGTCATCTTCTAGGTGACTCTAACTGAGGCTAAGATGACAAAATTAGCTATCACTAGTCCACTTCTGACACCTAAGCTTATCTCGTTGGTTTTGTTTGTTGTTTGTTTTTTTTTTTAATGTATTTATTTTGTATACAGTGTTTTGTCTGCATGTATCCTTGCAGGCCAGAAGGGGGCACCAGATCTCATTACACTATGTGATTGCTGGGAATTGAACTCAGGTCCTGGTCCACTAGAAGGCCACTGGTGCTCATAACCTCTGAGCCATCTCTCCAGCCCTGGTTTTTGTTTTTGTTTTTGTTTTGTTTTGTGTTTTTTTGAGACAGGGTTTCTCTATGTAGACTTTGAGCTTGTCCTGGAACTCTGTAGACCAGGCTGGCCTCGAACTCACAGAGATCCACCTGCCTCTGCCTCCCAAGTGCTAAAATTAAAGGCATACACCACCACTGCCTGGATGTTTTTGTTTTTATTTTGTTTTGTTATTTATTTATCTTGAGGCAGACTTTCTCTATGTAGCCCTGGCTGTTCTAGAATTCACTAGGTAGACCAGGTTGGTGGTAGTGGCCCACACATTTAATCTCAACAGTCAGGAGGCAGAGGCCGGGCGATCTCTGTGAGTTTCAGTTCGTTCTGATCGAGTTTTAGGACAGCCTGATCTGTTATATAGAGAAACCCTGTCTCGAACCCCCTCACACATGAATATAAATAAATTGTAACATTCTCTAAAGTCTAATGCTCATTTTTTTTGACTGGATGTGAGATTAATTACTGAATATGATTTAGTGGGGTGTAGAAGAGTAAAGTGGAAGTCATCAGGACTGCAAGGTCTGCCACTTGTCCAGGAGACCATGACTGGGGATGCTGTATTTGACCCCATAGCCATCAGGGATGAGCTGGTTCTCAACTATCATGCCTTCAAATTTATTTTCATTAAACTTGGTAAAGCCCCACATCATTGAGATGTGCATCTTCTAGAGCTCAGGGAACTTGAATTTGGCTCTATGCAGGGCCTTAATTACATGTTTCTTATTCTGAAACTTAGTGCAGATGGACAAGATGACCTGACCAATGTGAACCCTGGCCACTGTGTCCTGGAGCAACTCATATAGGCAGCAGGTTAAATGTGCTATCAAGAAGGCTGCTGTTTGCAGCCATTGCACATAGGCCTTCATGAAGAAGGGACCTGTCAGCTCAAATGGCTGCAATCATATTCATTTCTTTTCCTTCCTTCCTTCTTTCCTTTCTTCCTGTTTGCTTATTTGTTTGTGGAGACAGAGTCTACCTAGCCCTGGCTGTTCTATAACTTACTTGGTAGACAAGGTTGACATTGAACTCACCACCTCCCAGCCATCATGTTCATTTCTTGATGCAAAATGAAGTCAGTTCATCTTTAAAAAAACCCCCAAAGTCTTAACAGTTTTGAGATCATTCAAAATGTAAATGCCTCAGAGTTCTTATGAGACTCAGGCAATCTTTTAACTATGAGCCTCTGTAAAACAAAATACAAGTTACTTAACAACATATAACATCATAGAGTAAATATTTCCATTCCATAAGAGAGTGCTTGAGATGTAAGGAAGATCAGGCCAGTGGCCAATGGCTGGATAAGTGCTTGCTGTGTCAGACTGACTGAAACCCAGCAAGGTAATCCTTTCACATCATCCTGCAGTGGATTCTCAAGACCTATGTCTAGGGAACCTGACCCTGCCATACCTTGCCTGGCCTTAAAGACTTCCTGTAACCTTGCTGTAAGCTTCTGTGGCTCCATAACTCTTGCATTATGCATACTTTTTGTGTGTGTGTGTGTGTGTGTGTGTGTGTGTGTATTTATTATTTATATAGTAGTCTGCCTATGCTTGCACACCAGAAGAGGGCACCAGGTCTCATTACAGATGGTTGTGAACCACCATGTGGTTGCTGGGAATTGAACTCAGGACCTCTGGAAGAGGACTCAGTGCTTTTCTCTCTGAGCCATCTCTCCAGCCCCGCATTATGCATACTTATATGTTGTTTTTTACTAAATCTCAATCGTTCAATTTTACCAATAAAGACTTGGGAGCCAGATGCCGAGGTGAAGAGCTGGTAGTTTAGAGAGGCAGAGAAAGCAGCCAGCTGACCTTCCTCTTCCACCGAAGTCCCAGAAAGAGAGCCCTCTCCTATGCAGTTTCAAACAAAACTCTCAGAATGAATGCCCCTCCCCTCTATTTGCTGTTTGTCCTCCAGACTCCCTCCCTCTTGCTATGTTTTTTTGTTTTTTGTTTTTTCCTGCCAACTTGACCTATGGTTGGCTTTACTTAATCCTGTTTACAATAAGCAGGAACTCTTGGATTAAAGGTGTGTGCTAGGGCTGAACCACACCATGACTAGAAACAGTTCGAGGTTCACAGTGTGATCAAATATCCTGCAACTTCCCCCCCTTTTTGTCTAAATAAAAAGAGATGGGTTTTGCTCTAACACAGTAAAACTATTTAAAATAGTGAAGCTATTTCAGCCAAGCCTTCCACAATGTCCAGCTTGGTTGTATTTGGTAGTCTTAGGATTAAGTATTTCTGAGTTCAAGGTTCTGTGATGTGTTCGTGCCTATATGAACTCAGCAATTTCAATGCCCTGAACAGTTTATAGTCTGAAGCTGATCTTTGGGTGGTGCTTGTCAACTTAGTGGCTAATCCTGGCTAGGTAGAACATTGCAATCAACCCAAAGGTGCCCACCGTTTGTGTAGAATATCAGGTGGTTATCTGGCAGGAAGGGGCAGCTGCTCAGGCAAGATGGTGCCATGGGTGCCATGCTGGTCTGGGGGTTCTGAGGCAGGATTTCAGGCCAGTCACCTGGAGGTGGAGAAACCACTCAGACAATTTATCCTTTTTCTTGGGACATTTGTTCTTGATGATACATTCTTTTTCTTCAGACATTTCACTTGTCGAGTGGTCTCTGGATTCCTTAGTTGGATGCTTTTATTCTCCTGGAAAGAGGAAAAGCAAAGCCTGCTCCAGTCCTAACTCTGGGGGAGAGGGGTCCTTTTTTGGCAGGTTATATATTCCCTAGGACTAAATGTTTTTGGCAACAGAAAAAGTATTATCTTTCAGCTGGGTGGTGGTGGCATATGCCATTAATCCCAGCACTTGGGAGGTAGGCAGGTCTTTGTGAGTTTGAGGACAGCCTGGTTTGCAAAGCACAGAGAAAACCTGTCTTGAAAACAAAACAACTATATATACCTTACTATGTGTGTGGATAAATATGCCTACATTCACCTTTCCCTTTATATATACATTCAAGGTTTAAGTGTTTAAGTGTATTTATTTTTAGATCACAAAGGACATTCATTTGGAATTTCAGCCTGCATTTTGCAAGTGCCTATTAAATTTAAATCATTGTAATTCTTATGTGCCTGCCTCTGCACCCCATGTGCTGGAGTTAATGATGTTATAGTTGTCCTGGTTTAATTTGGTTCCTCATCCCCCCCCCTTTTCTTTTAGTGGTAGGGATAAACTTTCAAGTTTTTTGAATGTGTAATCTATTATTCTTACTGGTTTTATTCTGAAGTTGTTCCCTGGCAAATTTTAATATTTTAGTCCAGTATTGTATACTATTTCATTATTCTCAGAAGTCTTGTCTGTCATAAAATTTGATGTCTTTGCTAAGTTTTGCCATTTCTCATGCCTCCCATGACCAGATATCTTTGCATTTATCTGCCAGTTAGTGGTTTTCTATTTTGATGACCATATAGCTATACTGTTGCATGTGCTTCATGAATTAGAGAAGATATTTTCCTTTTGCTTTCCTAGTTGTTTGTCTTACAGCTGTGCTGATTTTGTGGTTTCTTCCTCAGTATCGGCCATTCCATCCCCAGTGTATGGGCTGTTGCTTCCCATTAGCTTTGGCTCCATCAGTGGTTGATGAAGTGTCAGTAAACCTTGTGTTAGCCAAATGTTGTGACCATTCCCTTGGTCCCCACAGTTCAATAGGTGCCTCTCTTGCAGGAGGGGTGAGCAGTTTAGACAACTGAGCTATTTCATCAGTGTGGGAAGGCACACACCCCTTTGCTACCACATCCTGGTCATGAAGGAATTCAGATAAGTACCAGTTCCACTGTAATACCTTTCCTTACATGGATAAACCTGCTAGGGACTCTGCCTTTGAATGGATTTAGTCCATCATTGTAAGGGCACCATTATGACCACAGCAATGACTGAGTATAAGGTTCTTGTGCTTCATAAAATGTGTAGATTTGTTTCTCAAAAGATAAAATATTTATCCTCCATATACAGAAAGCATTTTCAATAGAAGCCAACAGGCATTGCTGGGTGGTGGTAGTGCATGCCTTTAATCCCAGCACTTAGGAGGCAGAGGCAGGCAGATCTCTGTGAGTTTGAGGCTAGCTTGTTCTGTAGAATGAATTCCAGGACAGAGAAACCCTGTCTCAAAAAAACAAAACAACAAAACAAAAAAGCCAATAGGCAGATGTTGATGGACTCCTTTTTCTTTTATCAAGAGTCTCCAGTTTTCAATTTACCTATAAATATGATATCCATAATTAGGCCATAATCAGGTTCAGTATTGGTTAGGGTTGCATGCATGGAGAGAGTTTACAGGCAGTCCCAAAGGCTGCTCTTTGTTCCTGTTCCTTTGGAGATTAGCTGCTTTTCTTGTAACCTTGTAGAGGGTTTTTTTTTAATAACCTGTGAATATGGCATATGATTTCTGTAGTGTACAAACATACTGAAGGATGGAAAACACAGCCTAACTCTCCAATGACCCCAGGAAGCTAAAAGTTTAGAAAAACTGTCTAAAAAGCCCTAAAAACCTCGAATTCCAGACTTTGTCTTCTGCCAGTAAATAGGCGAAAGGTCATGCTCTTTGCCGCTTATCTGACTTCATAGACTGTTTGTGAAACCCCTGCCCCAGTGACCTAACCTAACTGCCATTTGTCACCCCACCTAGGAGCCTGCACAAATGCAGACCTCTGGGGCTATAGAAAACTGATTGGTCTATAAAGAGCAGGCTTGGATGATTTTAAATGATTGGTCTAAAAACTATAAAATGATTTAAATTGATTGGCCTGCACCTTGAGGGCTCTTGATGCTATGAGATGATTGGTTTACGATGTGCAGGCTTTGTTGTAACCCTATAAAAGCTGTGTGGCATATGACTGTGGACCCCAGTGCACTTGGAATAAAAATTCCTCATGCAGTTTGCATCAAGACCACTTCTCATGAGTGATTTGGGGTGTCTCCTTTCCTGAGTCAGAGAGTGAAGGTCCACGCTCTGCGGGTCTTTCAATACCAGTTAGGAGCTGTATCTGAGTTTTGTCTCTGGGTGCTGGGATTAAAGGCTTGTGCCACTGCTACCTTGTTCACTGTAACTCAGAATTTAGAAAACAGCTAATTTTCAGGGACCCACCTGTCTCTGTTGGGATTGAAGGCATGGGCTACCAATGCCCTGATCAAATATTTTATCTAAGCTCCAAATCACTCCAACTCTTAAGAGAGTTAGAAAACAAGTTTGAATTGTAGTAACCCTTTGAATTTACTTAAAACATTTGAAATCTCTTAAATGGGCTCCTCCCCACCCCTAATTCCCCCACCCCCACCCCTGCCTACCCCTAGGGTTTCTCTGTGTAGCCTTGGCCTTACTGGAACTCACTCTGTAGACCAGGCTGGTCTGGAACTCACAGAGATTCACCTGACTCTGCCTCCTGAGTGCTGGGATTAAAGGCATGCACCACAACTACCATGCACTTAACTGGGTTTTAATATCAAACAACAAAATATTCTTTTTACTTAAGAAAACTCAAAAGCTGATGTCCAAATGGCAATCTATAGACTAACATTTTAGCATGGAATTAAGAAATGTGGTTTAAGAAAGCCTATTTTTCATTTCATGCCAGTAAGGCAAGTGTGACTTTGGTAAGTTATCATCCAAAATTATTATTATTATTTATTTTTATTTTTTCGTGCCTGATCAAATGAAACACAGTTGCTAGTCTTTATAAGTTAGTTTGGACTGAATAACCAACCTGTCTGATGAATTATCACCTCTCCTTATTCAGGAGGTCTCTCCTGTTCATATCTTTTTCAATCTTGATGCTATCTATAGCTTTTCTTTCCCTGTGGAAACAATGGCAAATCCTCTTTCCCAATGTAACACATATCCCAGGTTCCATTCTGAGGTCAACACATCTTTAAAATACACAGGATGATTTAATTT